CACTGATGGGGTGCAGCTCTGCATACCCAAGCAGGGCTGAATCTATGACTGACAAGTTCTGGTCTCACTTTGATAATCATCAGACATGGCAAGATAGGAGACAGCTTCCAGTTCTACCCAAAGTTGCAGACCAGTTTGCAAGTCAGAGCCAGCAGGCAACAGGGCTGAGACTGAATGTTCAAGACTGTCAAGTTGGCAAGCTGAATGGTCAAGATGTCCCAGCTGAGATTGTCAGGAGAATAAACCCTAATCTTTCACTCCAGGCTTAACACAGGGGCTCCAGACCTCCATGCTTAGAAACAATATTTGGATGAGAAAAGCATGGCCCCCAGTAAAGGATGACCAAAGAAGTTTTTCTCATAATGGTCACACACACTTTCATCAGCCTGGGCGGGGTATGGTTACCGATGCAGGGTGATTAAAGTAACCTTGATGCCACTTCTCCCACCTTTGAGAACAGGCTAATGGATAGAGTGAGGACTAAGGTGGCCAGCAAAGAAAAAAGAGACAATGGTGCAAAATGCAGCAGCAGAAATTACAAAGTGCATTTCATAACAGCAAAATCTTCCTCACTGGAATGGCAAGACCAGAGAGCTTGTGAAATCCCTAGCCTTGGGGAGGACCTCAAGTGACCTGGTCTAAATTTGAAACTAGCTGTGTTTTGAGCAGGAGGCTAGACAAAATAACCTCCAGAAAGCCGTTCCAAACTCTTTTTTCTATGATTCTAGTATAGAAGGATTTCAACGATTTTCTGGCAAACATTTATTTTATAACTTTCTTATCTCAGCGCAATAACTGAGAAAAAAATACTTCTGAAAGTTGGCTGATTTCATCATATATTTATTCAAAAGCAAAAATCAAAACTAACCTATAATTTTAATGCAGTTGAGCACACCTAAATCTTGTCAGAAATGAGCAATTGTTCAGTACAGAGTAAGAAAATACTATTGTTAATTATCTATCTGAACAAATATTTCAAAGTTCAAATAAAAATGGTGATAATACAGTTAAATAAAGTGCTTTTTGCTTCTGTAGGGTCTCCACAGTTAGTCTTACTATTTTGGTCCTGAAGCTCTGTTTCAAAAGATACTCTAAACAAAACTTTTGAATTTAGCATCTGTAGGAAAGTGAAGGATAAATAGACTGATCTCCAAGTAGAAAGATCAAAAATATCTTTTAGGCTTTTTTTGTCTGTTTGTTTGTGTTTGGTTTTCGTGGTTTTTTTGTTTTGTTTTGTTTTCATTCATAAAATCAGAATAAAACAGAAAAGGAATCATTCAGATTCATGCATTCTTATTCCTAATCACGTAATGATTTACACTTATACTTAAGGTTTTCATAAACTTTTCTTCTAATTCTTTGAGCCTAAACAGAGGTTAGGGATTTTAGGAGATACATCTGAAATTCTTAGCTTTTTCCCATCACTCTGTGTTTCCAGAAGCGTTATCCCTAAGTTGTCTTCTCAGATATTACTCTTTGAGATAGACACTACATTGGTTAAAAATAGAAATGTTTCAGCAAAATTCTGTATTGATTCCTTGAAAATTTAAAGAATATGGGATTTTTGAAATATCTATAAATATGTCATTAATTAACTCTTTTTATGTAGATATTTATATCAGAATATTGGCAGGACCAGAAGGTAAATGTGAAAAGAATAATTTTAAAAATATTTCTTGCGGAAGCTTTTTAACTTGTTTTTGATTCATGGCTGAATCATCAGCCATCATCATGGGTTGTTTAATACACAGCTTTCAGAGATGTAGAGATTGTCAGAATAATATATCTCTAGTCTTTACATGCTCTTTTCGAGAGCAATTCTGAATTGACAAAGATTGATATGTTTCATTGCTAGCTTTTTTTTTTTCTTTTAAATCGGTCATATGGCACTTGAGGAAAAGACAACTACAAAGAATTGTTTAAAGATTAAATACCATACAAAGAGATGAATTACTGAATGTATTTAATAATTTTAACAATTGCATATCTATAATTCACCCATGATTGTAGGTAATTTTTGCATTCTATCACATATATGTTTTGCTTTGAATATAACAAAATATTTAGTATATATAAAATACATATGTTTTATAAGTCAAAAATATCTTCACAATTCAGAAAGTAGGAAAACCTCGAAAGAAAAAGTTATAAACTAATAGAGAAAGAAATACATTTTATATAAACCTATTGTGTTCATAGTGGCTGAAATGAAGCTATACTAATCTCATAAATAGATAAGTAAAATTAAAATAAATATGAAATATTAGTGGAAAAAATACTCTCTGCAGAGCAAACAAATCTTATCTTTAAAAACTCATATCAAGGTAGGCAGATCCTTTGGGTTAACTATGTAATTATAATTAACTCTCCACCAAGAAAATTTCCTAGAAAATATATTATTCACCTATTCAGCCTTACTTAATTTAGACTTTTTTGAAATCTATTTGGGAGATATAGAAAATGACAGTACTGTTTTAAATCAACGTAAGGAAGCTTACTAGTGTATTAGGTATTGACACACAAATAACAGCTTTTTGGTTTTTTTTAGAAAAGGTCTGAATCAGCAAGCTGTGTTATAATGCATCACTGAGGCAAATGTGAAAACACATTCAACAAGGGAATTTAAAGACCATTAAATACTTCAACAGTCCCCACTCTGTCATGACTGTACCAGCTTCTGCTGCCAAGCTTTGTTCTGATCTACTATGAAAATGCAGTATTACCAGACTGATTTATGTAGAACACACCCACAGACAGAGCTGTACATCAGCATACATCAAACACTATGTCAAAAAAGAGGAATAAAATTTCCTGTAGAGTAATTCTCAACACTGTTTTTCTTGTAGAAATGTACATTTTGTTAATGTGCAATATTTTGTACTGATGCTTAAACTAAGATAAAGGGACAGAAATATATTTTCCTTGTATACAAATCTGAAATGTCAGAAGTATGAGCCTTTAGCTGATCCAGCATACTGTGAGAATCAATCACAATAATGTCCCTACAATCTCCTTTCTACTGCAAACATAGGCCCCAGCCAAATACCCTTCCCTCTTGCCTATTCAGCAATGTTACTGAAAATGCGATTCCTCCCATAGCCAGAATAATGATAATTTAACTTTTTAGTGGAATTTTGCAGCTGTTTTATAGCCTGTCTTTTTAGCTATTTATCAGACACATTATGTTTCATTTACAGTTCCATAGTTGCCATCATCTAGCTTCAGAGTTCAGAGCCCTGTGGTCAATTAATGCAAAATATATTTTTTATCAAAGCACTCCTCAGTAGCTGGGAAGTGTTGCAGAAAGAAAGAAATTCTGAGAATTAATCTTTTCTTGAACGTTAATGTTGTATTAGATTGTTCTTAATGCTTTGGAGTTTGTGTGCTTTTGATTTAATATGAGCCAAAAAAGATAAGTACTGTTGAGCTTGCTAAATTATATGGGTTTTGAATTTGTAGTTATGTTTTCTAATTTGAAGTTATGTTTTCTAATCTCTGCATTCTGTAAATATCCTGGGTGAACTAGGTTTCAGTCTCCTTTCTTTGTTGGCTTCATACTATTGACTCAAGTTTCTAAGCAGAATTTTTTTGTTACACAGCTCAGTCAGAATCATTTTAAAAAATTCGAAGACAGAAAAATCTTTCCTAATTCCTCAAATTTTTCTTTTTATTTTGCCTCAAATTTGCCTTAAAAGTCTTCTCTTAATTTTTGATAATTCTACTTCCTGTAGTCCTATAAACAAGGAAACAACAGATACATCAGACCAGTTTAAAACCAGCTCTAGCTTTCAAAACTGATTTGCTTTCTCCCATGACATTAGAATGGATTTTTTTCTTTAAAATGGCCGTTTTAATGAAAGCATTTTTTCTTGACTTCTCCTAATATCATTAACGAATATAGCTTTTCCTGAATGAGTCTACTTTTCTGTTTATTGTTTGCTCTTTTTTTAAGCAGCTAGGTTAAAGGTTACACATTCAGAATTTTGCCCAAAACAATAGAGCCAATGACATGAACATGTCATGAACAAGCACAAGCTACTTTTGTTACTAATTTTATTGAATATACAGTAAGTTATTTGCAACTTGGGAAATAATGGAATAGTTCAGAAATTAAATGCAACTTTTAGGAATGGTTGTATGAAATAACAACAAATATCCACCTAGAAAAGTACCCTATGCTTACTGCATCAAGTGGAAACATAGTTAGAAAATTAATTTAAAAATGGGTTGTGTAAAGAGTAATCTTTTCCCTAGCACACTCTCTCTCAGCTTCCAACAGCTTGCAGTATTGGCATCTCCTTAGTTAAAATTCCTATTTATAACTTGACATTTAAAAGGTCTGTAAGGACTTTAAAGCCATAGATATCTCTAATTGCTTTTTGATTTAATTTGTACTTTTGACTTTCGTCCTGTGGCAATTTAATTCTGCAGTTTAATTTAGATAATAATAGCAGGATGGGCTTCAGCAAAATATTCCCTAAATCCCATTCTGAGATCTCCCTCAGCATGTTTTACTCACCTATAAAGACTTGGTAGATGTCCTGTGATAACAAAATGAGTTTCTTTTTACCAGTAGATTTGGTACATCAAAAGCCTAACTTTTTAATTTAACCCATTTATATAAAATATTTTGTACCTGAATATAATCAGGACTAGATGAAAATATTTCTAAATAGAGCTGGTCAGAATTTAAATGATCAAAAAATTTCATAGTAGTGAATTTTAACTCCAGAAGGGAATCATTGCTTTTGAGCCAGAAAGGGAAAGAAGGAAACTAACAAAATATTGAGAACATACACTTGAAATAGGCATGGGTGTCTAATATCTTGCTTCCAATAAATGTAAAGATTGAAGAAAAGTCTCAGCCCAGGTAAGTATAATAACTGTAAAGAAATTTCTGTTTAATGTTTTTATTAACTTTTTTAAAAATAGATTTTCAAAGGTCTTAGGTCAGTCCCTGATTATACTTTAGATATTCAGATATAATCTTTCCTTTCCAGTGGTTTCAAGAATTTGAAGATTAAGATCCATACTGCCAGCTTGAAAGTAAAAAATGAAGACTGAAGATACCTACTAAAATTTCTTAACAATCAAATTTTGATCATCAAGGATTTTATTGCTGTTGTTTTTGTTGTTGTTAAGTATTTACTAAAGAGTGTGCTAGATAATTAGTGTTGAAGATGGAATTTTTGAATGGAAAACATAAAATAAAATAGAAAATTAAACAACTACATGGAATTTGTGTTCTTCCAAATAATTTTTTTAAAAGCAGAAAGTAGTGACACAGTGTATGAAACTTAATAATGAAACTTTTTTTTTTTTTACTTTTTAGCTCAAATATCATAGATTTAATCATAAAATTAACTGCTGAAGCATGCTGGTGATCTTTTCTTGTTTTCCTACATTTTTTATGTTGTCCCTTTTACTTTAAAGTAATATCTAAAGTCAAATTATGTTTCTCACTAGTTTTCACCTCTAAGTTTTGGAGGTTTTTGTCTGACATGTCAGTCACTTTTAAGGCAAGAAGACTGCTTTTATGAGAATTTTCACTATATTGAGAAGATTTCTTTTTCTCTAACAAAAAGAATATTCAGCATAAAATCGCCACAGTAACTGCTTGTTTAAAAGAAAAGGCTAAGAGACTTTATTAACAACTTGGTTTTGCTGGGTTCATAGGTAGTATATATCAGTATACATTTTTAATATATATCAGAAACAGGAAAATTTGTTTTTTTTCTGTTTTCTAAAATCAAGAACCCAGTAGCAATGACTTCTTTCACTCTTGGACCAGGGCTCTGAAGAGCACCAATCTCAGCACTGGCCTGGGCTCACCTCAGCCCAAGCTGGGCTGTTTCCAGCTCCATCCTCAGGACCAAACATCTGCTGTCTCCTGAGCCCAAGCCTGAGCCTGAGCCTGAACCTGAGCCTGAGCCTGAACCTGAGCCTGAGCCTGAACCTGAACCTGAACCTGAGCCTGAGCCTGAACCTGAGCCTGAGCCTGAACCTGAGCCTGAGCCTGAACCTGAACCTGAACCTGAACCTGAACCTGAAGCTGAACCTGAACCTGAACCTGAACCTGAACCTGAACCTGAACCTGAACCTGAACCTGAGCCCGAGCCCGAGCCCTGCCGGTGCCTCCATGGGAGGGTCTGGCAGAGCCAGGGGCTCGTTGCCCAGGTAAGAAGAGCCCCTGTGGCTGAGCCTGTGCTCAACTGGGAACAGCCAAATACAAAAATAAACCCAAGCACTGAGGATGCTGGGACCCTGAGCAGCACCACTGCATTTCTCCCAGGAGAGGACTCAGGGCGTGGATGTTTCACCATGGCAGCACAGCTGCTCTTGGCTGGGGAAACTGGAGGGATATTGGGAAAGTGAGCAGCGTCAGCAAAAAAGGATTTATTTTATAAAAGGGTGGGGTTTCTTAAGAATTCTAAAGATAAAAATATATAGCTTTCCTGTACTGATTTGTACCATAATTGTTGCTATCATTGTAGCTGGACTGTTGCTTTTCATTTGGGTTTAAATTTTTTTTTAATTAGGCTGACAATGCATTCTTGGCCATATACCTGTGCTTTTTTCTTTCCCCTGTAACACTGATTTGAATGTAAACCAACTCCTTAAAAAAATGGAAAACAGCTAAGGAAATCAGACCAAGGGCTCAGAAGTATCCCAGAATTAAATAAAATAGACAGAATTTCTGACAGTATACTCTTAATATAACTAAAATTAATTCTGTTGTGGTTTACCATATTTCTAGTACTGTATACCTCAAAATAATTGAATCTCAAAGAAGGTGATCTCTACTTCAAAATGAGGAAAATGTCTCTAAACATGGAATTAATTTTCTCTCTTCTCATTTCTTTGAGGACTTAAAATACTTTAAATAACTTGCACATTATTTACATGTTACACATGTTGGGAGGGTATTGGTATTTTTGGAATTGATTTTATTGTGCTTTTAGCTGCCAGAGACTAAGATGAGCTCCCTGCAAGGAAGAAATTTTCACTTTTAGAGAAAAACAAGCATGAAATCTGATCAAATTTTATTTTTGTTTCACATTCTGTGTCTAGAAAAACACAGAAAGAAGGGCAGTAAACCCTGGCAAATATTTATCTTTAAATAATAATTTGAAGAAGCATATCCTAATGGTAATGAAAACTGTGGAAGATCTTTATCTGCTATGGCATTGAAGGATATCAATAAGAAATGAATGAACAACAGCTGATGTTTTAAAAATAAGGAATTTTATAAGCTTCATTACTGTCTTATGAGAAAATGCATCTGAAAAAACTACAGCATGCCTCTCAGAGTTTCTATTTGTTAAAAATGCTTTTTATTGTCATAGAAAACAAACTTGAACTACCTACATAAACTGCTTACTGCTATGTCAATTTCTGAATGGAAATCTGGAAATATTTCCAGTAAGAATTTGTCAGGCAGAGCCACACAGAAAAAAAACACAAGTAGCTTATTGTGGCAATTAGTACAGGTACTGATCAGGAAGAACAATATGGGATGAAAATATTAATGAGCACATAAATTCAATTATTTCAGAGATCATACAAAGCCCAAAACTATGTAGAATGTTAACTTTTCTAATTGTTATTTTAAATTTATTTTTAATATATCTTCTACAGAAAATAGTAATAGAAATCTTAGATCTCAATTTTCCTTTCCTTTGAAGAATTTTTCTACTGAAACATTCTCCAGTCTTGCCAAAATAATCAACATTCTGACAGTATTAGCTCATGATGTGTTACTTTGATTGGGTTGTGGGAAAAAAATTTTCAAAATAATTATTGAAATTTATTCAAAATAACTTTTGTCTCAAATATTATTTGATGATTCAAAATGAAAAAATAATTTAGAAGAACATGAATACAGGCCAACAGACTGTGATTGACCTTTTTTTATTTAAATATGCTAAAAATGTTCTGCTTGCTCACACTGAATGTGTACCTTCTCTTCACAAAGATGGCTACATGAGACAACACAAGGACTCAATTTCTTTTTTGTTCTCAGATAAGTTTATTCTGCACCTTTTAAGTTGTTACCTCAAAGTCTAAAGCTTTGAGAAAACATTGTCCTGCATACAGGGAAGTCTCATTTAAAAAAAAAAAAAAGTGTTTTTCTAGGGAAGAAAATTCAGGAATGTAATCATTACAACTCATACAAATCATACAACTCAGACATGTGATGTGTTTTTGAGGTGGTATCTCACTGTTTTTTGCATGAACTGGTTGAACTATTTGCATAAATCCTAATAACTTTGTTGATAGATGTAGTCTACGCAGTAAGAAACAGGAGACTTAACTTTATTCAAGAGAATTTATACAGTAACTGGTGTCAGAAGGGGAGTTAAAGCATAGTTTGATTTTGAATTGGAAGAAGATGGAGATATTATAATAAAGGGAGATGGTAACTAATGGAATCATTATGAGAATATCAAGAAGTATTAGTTACTTTGCTTTTTTAAATGCTGGTGCAATCTTCAGACTCTGCCTTCCAAGTCTTACAGTCTTCTCTTCTTTTTTTTAATCCTATATGCTTATGAGGAAGATAACCAACAAGACATTTCAACTCTTTGTTCTTGTAAGCAGAGTTTCAGGTTCAAGAGATAATACTCCAGAAAAAATGCACATGAGGATTTAATTTGCTACCAAGGATGGATTCTAAATATTTCTTACTCCCATATAATCATTTTTCAATTACACAATTGGCATGCTTTGCTTTCTCTTTCATAAAACTTTAGATCCTGGCAATGAGCAGCCTCAATCAAAGCAAATCTTCTGCTTATGAAGAAGAAGAAAATATAAAAGATAACTGCTAAATATCAGTTACAACTATTTACTTATTTTTGGAGATGCAAAAAAATCCAAGTTAAGATCCAGTCTGTCTATATATATATATATATATATATACACCCTAAAAAATATTACTAGATTCTAGTCACAATACAGACCAAGATGAACAGAAATGTGTAGCTTTTTGTTTTCTATCTTATGAATGGTAACCGGTTTGGGGTTTATTTTTATTTTTTAAATAATATATGACATTCTACCAACCTCAAAAGAAGAAAAAAAGAGACACTGAACTAAGCATTAGGAATCATTAGCATAGTTCACTGTTATAAATCTGAAATTTCTTTAAACATACAAATTACTTTCAGGAACAATCCAAGGAGACTCTTAAAACTAGGGCAAAATTAATGATCTTACTCAGAAAGGCAGCAGTAATTATGTCCAGTGGCTCAGCATGATTACAGTTCCTCAGTGCCTTCACGGCTTTATACAAATTATAAAGCAACACTTGGCAGTGGAGAACATATAGGGGCACATCTTAGAGGTCTGTTTAAAAGTAATTAGCAACAGTGATTCATGTGCAGGCTCTGAAAATTACTATATCTTTCAAAATAATAAAAACTACTAATCTTGGTTTTACCCAAGCTTCAGAATATCCTTTTAGGCTTAGCTCTGAATAAAAGAAGTTTATGCACTTTTGATATCCATCCTACCTCCTAAAATCTGAGGGAGTGTATTTAAGAGTAGACTTCCATAGTGTAGCATTAAGAAGTAGATTACCTTAATGGTGAACACTGAGAGTCAGAAATTAAACTTATTTCTTGAATTTGCTTAGAAAGTCATTAGTCTGTCTGCTAACATCACCTTGAGTACCACAGGAACCAAACTTTAGTTTTCAGTTCTCATGGTCCTGCACTGTCAGTGTATTATCATCACTGTTTCACCTTCGGTCCCAAAATATGCACATGCATGATTACTCCAAGGGGGTCTTTCAAATTACTTCCCTTCTAGGTTATACTTAATAATCTAAAAGACTGTCTAAATATCTCAGGCCTTTGTGGCAACATGTCTCAATCTATATTCAGGACTGAGAGGACATTTGCAATAATTTAGTTGGGTCTTGTGGTAATGAATCAAAACTCCAGGATTACTTTCTTGCAGATAAAATCATTGTGTTAGAACACAGACTTGTGATTTCTTGGTTTTCCTTTCCAGCTTCCTTATTTTCACACCTCTACTTGCACAAGAAATAGTTAATGTGTTTAGTCAGATTAAATTGTGTTTTTATGGTTAAAGATTTCTCCAAGAAAGAAGAAAACCATGTTTGGCTTCCTTCAGGT